GTTCTGAAGCGGAATTTTCAGCGCGGCAGTACGGAAAATCCTTTTCAGGATAAACCTTGAGTAATAGTTTCGTCAAGCTCCGCCTTCACGCTGGACATGTTGAAAGTTTCGTCTACAAGCTGCGTCGCTTCCAAATTTGGATCTCCCAAATCGCGAAGTGGTTTTGCCTGAAATCGTATTTATGGAGGGTTAGCACCATGAAGTTGTACCTAATCTAAAAATAAATCTAAATCTAAATCCTATCTAAAAATTAAGCTGTAACAAAAATGAATAGAGCACAATAGTAGAAACGAAAAGGTGATTAAAAGGCGCGCCCATGAGTAGGTCTCTCACCCCGTCACTAGAAAATAACCCATTTGTGTAATCGGAAATTTTTTTCAGGTTCCTCAAGCCACACGATCAGCGCTGTTCGGCTAAAGGGAGGGAGAAGGGTGCACTTTCACTAGTTCCTTTTGCTATTCCTGTCATGTCTTTTGATAGTATCAGCAGACTTTCGTTAAAGACAATCCCCACGCTCGAGCAATTCGTAGGCACCCTTCCTTGTACAATCAGCCCGGTCCTTATTCTCTGAGATTATTCCTTTTTCGCAACTTCACAGCAAAAAAATGGAGGCGCCGTGATCGTCAGAAGCGCCGGTTCCGACGCTACTTTAATTGTCCCACAAAACTCCAAGGCTATCTTTGGTCATAAGTCTAGAGTACGAACCCCGTTTTTCGTTTTTTTTTACTGTAAGATGGTATTAGCATTGAGGTCCGGAAAACTCGTCCAGGGACTGCCAGTTCCTTAGGGTGTTCTCTGTGATTTTTTCGTTGCTTTTTTTTCTACTTGAGAAACATTTGGAGACTATAGGTCAGTAATTGAACGCAGTATCTACAATATACTACGATCGCGGGGTTTGTCTTATGGGTAAAGGAAGTTTGTACTATTGCTCTACAGGAAATTACGGGTTACGAAGGCAGTGATCGATGAGAACCAGCAAAATGCCCCCACCAAGCCGATCTGCTCCCACATAAACCAAACTTCCTACAGCCAGTCGTTCGATATGACCGTCACTACTGGACTATCTTGGGAAGAGTGGAGAAAGCGATCTCTCGCTTTCCTATTCTAGCCTAAAACAGCATTGCAGAGTGGCCCAGTCCAGCTGTTAAGATGAGACCGCAGTACTCATCTTAACAGCTGGACTGGGCCACTCAGCAGTTGCAGTACCGAACTGCATAGTCAGACCCTCTCTGCCATGTCCAGAGAGAAATGTAGCGTAAAATTGCCCATAGCTCCCACAAAAAATATTTCAGTCCATGAACCGAACTGTTGTGAAACATTTGCATGCAAATAAATCCTGTGCAACATCCTCAAAGTTCAATAATGCTTTGGAACACAGCCAAACCAACCATCTTCCTTGGAGCTGGACGCGTCCCAGGTGTTCCACACGTGAACGGACTTCCCACTGATTGTCTCTTTTTCACCTATAAAAAGAATTTGGGTCTCGTGGAATAAAAGAAATTGCAAAAAAAATTTACCTCACCTCATTCGCTTTCGGTGATCTTTCGTTTTCCTTATCGGACAGCATCGTATAGCAAGTACTTGTTAGTCTGAACACAACATTAAATTAAAGCAATCTATAAGCGGCGAACTGCGACAAACAAATTTAAGCGTGATTCAATACTTTGACTCTTATTGGGAGGTAATCTGAGCGAACAGGATTCATATCCATTTAAAAATTCGAAACGCTATACGAGAGTCGGCATGAAAGCAACATCTCATCAACAAAAAGGTTATGGAAGAAAACTTCCCAATTATTTTTGAATTATGGCCCAAAAAGGAAAGCCGGAGCGATACGCGGGTTTACGACTTAAAAATTCGCGCGCATTCAGGAGGTGGATTAGAGCGCGATATCTGCTGCTCGCAGCAGCGAGAGCTCCTGGAGGGAGGGAGGACCACGCGACATGCTGCTCTTCTGCTCTCTCCTCACCGAGACAGTGTCCCGCGTGTTTGGTCGGATTCCATGAGGCTTTTTAGGGGGGTATTCGTAATTGCGGGGTAGGACATGAATTTAACACTGTCACAGAGTGTTCATCATACAAGGCAGGCGTTTATCTGACTAGGGAAGGTCGTCAGGTCGAAGTGGCCATTTGTAAGGAGATGTAGCTCACTAGATTTTGGACGCTGATCTCGAATTCTGCCTTCGAAATTTGCAGAACGATAATCTGAACGGAATTATGAAGGTTTGTTAGAATTAAAATGAAGGAAACAGATCTAGCGGCATGGTGTGGTGTTAATGGTCTTGCTTGGCGGGCATGCCATGAAGGGTTCGGTTTTCGGGAAGGGAGCTTGTTTTGCATTTTGTGGGGAATGTCTCTTTTGAGTCTAGAAAACACTCAAACCCAAATGAGTGCCACGTTCGTGTTCAGGGAGCAAAACTACCCTTGGGTACAGTATTCCAGCCAAATATGAGGTTTTGACCTAACTGTGAAAAATGCGGCAGCAGTTGATCGTATGATGCCACAATAGTTCCAGGGCAGTCTCTTATCGATGCTTGTCTTTGGACAGAATTTGCTTTTAGATACCAGGAAAACTGGAGCAGTAACAACATGAATGCGTAAGAAGAGGGGAGACGAGGCTTTGTGCAGGAGAATGTATCTGCAGCTGAATAGGTGTTAACATCAATTGAACTAACCCATGGATGCTTCATCCGAATTCGGCAGCGAAAAATGCCAGATTTGGCTGGAAACCTCTACCTAGACGGAGTTCGACCCCATAAATACGAATATGGCACTCGCTCAGCGCGAAAACGCCTGCACTCCGCGCCAAGGGCACCTGTACATCTCCTAGATCATAAGGCACTAAGCGCGCCAGTAAGCGAACACAAACTGTTTTTCAGGCAAGTCAAGGAGAGCGCTAATGTAGTAGTGACGCTACAACCACTTTTTGCCACGTTTGCACAAGAAGCAAAAAAGTTAAGCTCAGCAGGGGTTTCGGCGGAATCCCATTGCCACGAAACCTGCTTGCGGATAAGGCGGCGGTGGAAAAAGCCTCCATAACTCCGTTCAGAGAATCGTTCTGCAAATTTCAAAGGCAGATTCGAGATCAGCGTCCAAAAGCCACGTCTAGTGAGCTACATCTCATTACAAATGGCCACTTCGACCTGACGACCTTCCCTAGTGAGGCGAGAAGGAGCAATTCCTAATCAGTCAGTGAGGATTTTCGTACTTGCCCTAGTAGGGAAGGAACTTTTAGGTAGGTAGGTGAACCCGTTCCTCCGTAATCTCAATGCCTTGGGTGCTACGGACCTAAAAGTTGCCCCTATTAGGCTGCGTTTATACTTTGCGGCAGCGTAGCGTAGCGCTTCCAGCGCACGCCACGCCGGCCACCAGTGCCGAAAACGAGAGATAGCATATCGACCTCTACTACAACCAGCGCCAATACAACCACGGCACGCTGGCGTACGCTAGAGTGCTGCCAGCGGCGAGCGTAGCAGGGACACGGGAAGCATACTATCGATCTTAACTTATACCAGCAGCGTTTCTCCAGCGTTTTCCCAGCGCTTTCAGCGGCGGGGCTAGAGAGGGGCTAGAGAGCACTGGACGGAGAGTACAAAGTACAGTACTCTCTAGCCCCTCTCTAGCCCCGTCGCTGGAAGCGCTGGGAAAACGCTGGAGAAACGCTGGTGAAGCTAGATCGATAGCTATGCTTCCCGTGCCCTCGCTACGCCAGCGTGCCGCTGGTGACGCTGGTGAAGCTAGATCGATATGCATCCTCTCTTCGGCACTGCCGCTGGCGTACGCTGGAAGCGCTACGCTACGCTGCCGCAAAGTATAAACGCAGCCTTACTCCAATAGCGCCCAGCCGGCAAAGATGCAGAAGATTAGCAGCAAAAGTCATGCTTCCAACAAATTCCCGGTGGGTATAGCACTTCCCCTTTCTAGTCGAGATCAATGAATTCCCCACATGAAATATGCTGGAAATTCTCAACGGATTTTCCATACACTATCTCGATGAGGAGGGTGCAGCAGAGCAGAGTGGTATCCTCCAAAATTGAAATAATTACGATGGTTCTGACTGCGAGTACACGGGAAATCATTTGCGGTGATGCCCAACGTCCTGCAAGCAGGGGACTCAGCACGTTGAACATTCTCTACCACCAGGAAGAGGAAAGGGTCATATCCGATTGCTAGAGCGGAGGAGTAGGGAGAGAGGAGGGGAGGGTGGGGGATTGTCGTATTTCACCTGACCGGAATTTTTCTGACTGCTGATTTTTTTTTCTGTTTCATGTTATGTGTCCCTTAGTGTGCCGCCGCAATTGTTACGATTACATTTCCGACAGTAGTAGTTATTTAGGTTTATGTACTCAGGAGATTACTGCTATTCTGAATGGAAATAAGGCGCAGTTCGGCTTGGTGGGGGCATCAAAAGGTGGCAATGCTCGTTCAGGGATCTTCTCGAGACCCGTGGATTCATGTAACCTGACCTCTCGAATGGTGCACTTATACCGCTTTAGCACAGCTACAGCTTTGCAGGATTTTACATTTCTCATGAAAATGAGATCTACTAGTTAACGTCAACTAGCAAACGAGCAAAAGAAACTAGTGGAAGTGCAAAATGCTCCTTGCAAGCCAAACAGCCCCAAAGTTAAGTGCAAGGCACGTCCCAAAAGCCTTGCTCAACGCCAACACTGAACGGTTTATAGGTTTACCCCAGTACAAGAACCCTTTTAAAATGCAACCGTTAAGAAGATCGCTCAGCAGCGTCCAGCTTATCAATGTTATCTCTGCAGAAAATGTTGCTTGTTGTAAACTTATAGCATGCCGATGAGAGAATTTTGTATAGCGCTAGAAGTTCGGAGACGATCCGATGCATGCCGACGAGGGTAATGATGAGAAAGCTCGATGATCCCACTTAAAAGCGTCTGGCATACGGTAGGCGCCATTCGGCGATGTCGACGTCTGCGGTGCTGGTGCTTGCGCTCAGCGCTGTCTTCGCCTACGCTGATCAGGTTAGCTCGATAGCCACATCTTACAGTTTTAAACTATGTGATTCTATTCCGTTGTCAAAATAGGAGGTGCCACGCGGTCAGTGGATAAGTACCACTATTCCTTTCTGCGGAGGGGGCGGCATCGGAAGCAAGCCGGTTGGGGTATTGCTGATGGCTTTGGAGGTCTTATGCACATTCGCTTGGTTCAAACTCTGTAGAAAAGGGAAAAACAGGAACATCTCACTCCTCCATACCTCCCCAAAATCCTGGGCGCTCAGCACACGAAGAGCTTTATCCTCTAGACGGTGTTACCTTCCTGTCAGATACGATCAAACCTTCCTGTCACAGGCAACCACACGATGGCCGAGTATCAGAAAACATTGGCCCAGTAGTGCGGCAACTGAGCGGTTGTCCTACTGTCATGCGTTCCGAGCCAGTGCATCCCATTCAGAAAAAAGAAGCTCCAAGAGTTAGGGATTCTGCGACGGGAGGGGCATTTTGCACTTTTGCTACTTCCCATCGACGCTTCGACCCATCTAGAGAGGTGTTTCATGCGTTAGAAGAGGTGACAGGTTTTACCGTAGTGAGACTTGTATACCGGAACTAGTGAAGCGGCAGAAGTGCAAAATGCCCTCCGTTCCCTATCTGCTCTCCGATTCATATTCTAGGACACCTTGCAGCTGCAGCGAGGGGAGTCGTGTTGGTCGCAGAAGGAAGGGGAAGATTGCATTTGCTTTTAACTAGGATGTTTTCGTTTGTTAACTTTTCTCGGTCTTTTCTCGTTCCGCGTGTTTTTCCGTGAAGATCGTTGAGAGGATGGGGGACGGGAAGGGGGGGGGTCGTGCCAAAGAAGGAAATTCTAGGTCAGATCGTACTTTGCAAGAATTTTTCCGACGGCACCACGTGTTTATTTTGGAAAAGGGGCGGAAATATCGTCCTTTAGCGATTTCCTCCTCGTTCCTTGACACTACCTTCTATGACCACGTGAGGCAGAATCTAAGGACGAAAACACTCTTTTCTTTACGGGCACTCACCTACGTCTGAGCTACTGGGATTTTCTGAGCAAGAAGTCTAAAAAGTTCAGTCGCGATAAACTCGTACTCATATAAGCCGAGGATTCCACCCCACAGTACCCTCAATTCGGCTCTTCTCAAATCTTGTCACAGAAATCACAAGAATGCTAGATTACGGGTAAAAATCGTGATCCAGGTAGAGCTTACACCCGCACCGCACGCTTTCCGGGCGAGTGCGCTATCCCTTACGACTAACGCCGTATCTCACAGAGCCTCATGCTCTTCTATATGAGGTCTGTTGGGATGGGGCAATCTATTCGAATCATCCTGCCTTCCACATGTGATTCAGTAGCAGCCCCCACAGTCTCGTGGAGGTTTCATTTCGCTTGCACTTCTTTTTGAGTTGATTTTGCGGATCTTACGCGCTCCATAGGAGGCGGGAGATGGTGTAGGGCAATGAGACGCTATACCACGCGCCTTCTAGCGTCAAAGTCCCGACCGGCTCCTTCAAGCCAACCAAGACTTCTTTCCTTTGGGGACATTAACTGAAACCATATTTATCTGGGAAGATACGAGCTTATACATCGGTTGGCCCCGCAAGTCATTGTATAGGTCAGATCGCATCCACTAGACCACCTCGATCCCGAGAGGAAGTAGAAAGCGGGTCGCATCCTAGAAAAGAACTGATTGGTGGCGGAGTCTTTACCTTTCTTTCTTTCCCCTCCTCCCTGACAGGATCAAACTGGATTTTTGTAGGATGTGAAAAATGCGACCGCTGCAGGAAGCTATGGTTACGATCAGCCATATAATGAACCCTCTTACGCTGGTGGCTTCAATTACCCTCCGTTTTACAATGGACAATACGGACCATACGGACCATATGGACCATATGGAACGTTCGGACCCAATTTCGACGTACTCAAGAACAGTGGGCGGTATATTTTTTTCGTGTTAGTATTTTCAGACTTTGTTTTTATTTCAGATTATGTATGCAGCGTCGATGTTGCCTACGGTGTCTATACGTCGCATCACCGCAGGGGTGGCCGTAAGGGATTTTCTTATTTTTTTTCTGAAGAGTAGTTAGTTTCAAGAGAGCGTCTCAGTGATGGCACAGTCCAATTTTGGGCAGAGACAAGCACAGTCCAATTTTGGGCAGAGACAAGTCTTCGAC